AATCTTTGTAATCCCAGGCTATCTGTAATCAGAAGCACATTTATAACTGGAATATAATTTAATTTCATTCACATGTGTTTCATAAACACATAATCCTTTATGGATTACAATCCGCCATCAAAATGATACATTTAATTATTCTGGCTGCTTTGAGAAAAGGCTATAAACGATCGGCCACCTGCAGGATCCTCACATGCGATAGCCTAGTAGCCGGGACAACCTCTTTATGTTTACAGACGTGCCGTAATGACGCGGTGCCATGCTCGAATTTCCCGCGAAAACCTACCTGTACCACTCAAATTAGAAAACATTATTATAAGATAACCGTTGTGAATCGGGCTAAAGTAAGGCGATAGTTTCGAACACTGGCTGGTTATGTACTTGCTCAAATATTGATTTCGGATAATTTTTAACCAAAAAAAGTTACGGACTGCAGCTTTAAGTTTTTTTTTTCCCTTTGAAATATTAGTTTTAAAATCATTCTGATGGTACATTGACTTCTAATTTATTTTCCATGCTCCACAAAAACATCAGTTCTGGGAGTATGTAAGTTTGGTGAGTGGGAAAAAAACAAAACCATGGTAACCACAAATTAACCATGGTCTTGCTACACTAACCATAGTTTAACCATGGTATTTATAGTAAAAATGGGGTTATACAAATTGTAGTCAATAAGACATGGTTACTACACTTTTACTATAATAAAACCATAGTTAATTTTCGTAAGGGATTGCGACAGTGAATTCCACTAACTTTACTGTTGGGGGCTCTAAAGGCGCAAAAATACACAAAACTACATACAGTTGTTTTAAGATCCAATGGGAAACAGGTTTCACAAGATCTGTTTATAAGGATTTCTTTAGTCAGGATTAGTCACGGCAGCCCAAAGAAACCACAGCACACTGGCCTGTACACTCTTAAAAATAAAGGTGCTTCACGATGCCATAGAAGAACCTTTTTGTCTAAATGGTTCCATAAAGAACCTTTAACATCTGAAGAACCTTTCTGTTTGACAAAAGGTTCTTTGTGGCGAAAGAAGGTTCTTCAGATTACAAAAAGGTAAGAAAGAGATGGTTCTTTAAAGAACCTTTGACTGAATGGTTCTTTGTGGAACCAAAAATGGTTCTTCTATGGCATCGCTGTGAAGAACCTTTTGAAGCACCTTTATTTTTAAGAGTGTATGGAAGTCAATGGCTACCAGAAACAGTTTGGTTACCACCATTAAATGACAGAATGTTCATTTTGGCTGAACTATCCCTTTTAAGATTAATAATTACTGACCTATTTCAAACACAGTATCAATCTAAGACACAATGCATTATTTCTTCTGCTCCTCTTATTTTTCCTCCGCCTCTTCCCCAGGGAGCCCTTCAGTCTTCTGCCACAGACGTGGAGTAGTAATGCCAATCACACAGCCAGCGATCCTCTTCCCAGCATTCCCACTGCGTTTGCTCTCCTCATCTGACCCCATTCCCAGATCATCCTCCTTCTCATGAACCACCACTGCGCGTCCCAGAACGGACTGACCCCCGAACAGCTTGGCCTCCGGGAGCATCTGGAACCTCCTTATAACTCCTTGCTCAGAAACAAAGTTGCCCAGGTCTCCGGGATGACCGGGATGGTCAACCTCCCGCGGATTGTAATGAGGACCAGCAGTGACGCACCCTTGACTGAGGTCTCCATACTGATGGATGTGGATGGCGCGCACTTGCTGATCATCGGCAGGCAAACCATGGAGGTTGATTTTCACTGCTAGCGTTCCATTGGGAAAGACCTGCTTGAAAAGCACCCGCCCAAAGATCTGTGGCTGGCTGGCTGTTAAATTAGGGACGGGTGTTACGTCACAAGTGGCGTAGATTGTGTTGTTGAACTCCACGACTTCTGGCTTAGGAGCTTCGACGATCTCAAGAACAGGACTGTCTTGCTACACTAACCATAGTTTAACCATGGTATTTATAGTAAAAATGTGGTTATACAAATTGTAGTCAATAAGACATGGTTACTACACTTTTACTATAATAAAACCATAGTTAATTTTCGTAAGGGATTGCGACAGTGAATTCCACTAACTTTACTGTTGGGGGCTCTAAAGGCGCAAAAATACACAAAACTACATACAGTTGTTTTAAGATCCAATGGGAAACAGGTTTCACAAGATCTGTTTATAAGGATTTCTTTAGTCAGGATTAGTCACGGCAGCCCAAAGAAACCACAGCACACTGTTAAAAATAAAGGTGCTTCACGATGCCATAGAAGAACCTTTTTGTCTAAATGGTTCCATAAAGAACCTTTAACATCTGAAGAACCTTTCTGTTTCACAAAAGTTTCTTTGTGGTGAAATAAGGTTCTTCAGATTACAAAAATGTAAGAGATGGTTCTTTAAAGAACCTTTGACTGAATGATTTTTTGTGGAACCAAAAATGGTTCTTCTATGGCATCGCTGTGAAGAACCTTTTGAAGCACCTTTATTTTTAAGAGTGTACTGTTAAATGAGGGACAAACCATGCCTTTTACTGTTAGTACACTTCAGGTAAAAAAAAAAAGAAAAAGAAAAAGTAACTGAGTTTTTTTTTTTTTTAATGAACACCCACTTAACATTCACTAAATATACTGAAAGAAAATTGTTAAAGTAGTAACTGTATGTTTCATAATTGTTTTAAACAGTTAGGCCTACTAAAAATGACATCAAATTGCCTTTCTGAAACGCGTCGATTTTTACAAAGCTCATCGGTCTGAAAAGCGAGGTGTGCTGTGATTGGCCAGCTATCCAGTGCGTTGTGATTGGCTGAATACCTCAAGCGTGTGACGGAAATGTTACGCCCCTACCATACTGTTGATGCCGTGTCCGGCTGTAGCGACAATTCAAAAACATTAAAACCTATTATAAAGAGGCATTTGTTGCATCCAGTGGGGACATAATTACGGATTATAATGACTTATACTGTCTTTTTACGCGTTGCATTGCATCGCGCCGCGTAAACATAAAACCATGTCTGCATTTGTGATCGGAGAAATGACAAACAACAAGTGCTACTCTACACTGCTCAAAACTCGAGTTTGAATCATCAGTGGCAAATCCTTTATATATGAAAACGTACTTACAGTCTGTGAGTCAGAACAGCCGGCATTGTAATCTACTCTCCCAGGATCAGGAAACAGTCCTCCATAAAATGCGCTGCACACATCTGAATATTTGGGTTGAAGTGTTCTGGAACAGTGTTGTAAATACAACTTAAGCACTGATTTCTAGTCGTGTCCTCTTTTGGAAAGCCAAACAAAGTAGTTTCACTGTCACAACAAAACACATCACGGGCTAGAGTGTGCAGAGGCCGGAGGGCTTGCGGCAACCACATGTGACGACCCCGGGCTGGACTCCGCTTCGTCCACGGTGAAAGC